TTCTGCCAAAAGCCAGCCAAGCCCTACTGCCACGTGAGCACTTTCCACCAGCTACCTGAGTTCTGCCTGCTGAGTTAGGGCCCCAAATAATAGAGAGTTGTATTAGGTACAAATACTGCTTGGCCAATGACTAGGATTTCTCATCTGTTAGCTCAGTCTTAATTATCATAAATCTATATATTTTATAAGACTTATCTTATTTAGGATGCCTTCCATTGGCGTCCTCAACCCCAGATCACATGGAGACTCTGGAGAAGAGAGAAGGGGCCCACTTCCTTCTTTCCCTTGTTTATATATGAGTCTCCTTGCCATGTCACTTCCTGTGGATCACCACTTCTTTACTACATTTCCCAGAATCTTCCTTGACTCTCTTAGTTCTGCCTAACTTGCTGCCTCATTGGCCAAACAGTACTTTATTTATCATCCAAGAAGACAAACACATACACAGAAGCACTTCCCCCATCAGATCCCTAATCTTTTTCTTTCAGCCCCTATATATTTTTTGACCATACCATATAACAACTTGTAACCAACCCCCCTACATGATGACAAATATCCATAACCCCAAGAAATACCAAAAACCACCCACCCCACCTATTGGGAAAGTGGACATTGTGTTCTTAAATTTACTATTTACTTCCTGTTGACTGGGGGGATGACAGCATCTCTAGGGGGCTCTGTAAAAACCAAGTCTTGGGAGAACTAGCTGCATTACTTGTTGCCAGTCTCTGAGTAATGGGAAAGTGTAGGAGTTATATGAAGTCCTGGCTGGAGTGGTGCATGAGGGTGGACCATCTCAACAAGACAACTTGGAATTGTCCTGAGCAGTTTGTTGTCCAAAGCCAATCATTGGGTGGTGTAATGATAAATCTTTCTGCCAGCGGCCAGAGCCCCACTGCTACGTGGGCACCCAAAATAGCACACAGAGACTTATGTTATTTACAATGCTGTTGGCCAATGACTAGGATTTTTTATCTGCTGGCTCAGTATTAATTATCAACCATAATCATAAGACTTAACTTATGGAGGATGTCGGCGGAATTCATCCTGTCTTGCTGGGATCACATGGTGGCTCCAGAGCAGAAAGCAGGAGGAAGAGGAAGAGAGAGACTTCCTACTCGTTCCTGCTATTATTCTGAGTCTGCCTGGATCACAAGACTTTACTACATTTCCCAGAATCCTCCTTGACTCCTAGTCCCACCTATTGTTCTGCCTCATTGGCCAAACAGTGCTTTATTCATTAACCAATATGAGAGACATATATATACAAGGACTTCCCCCATCAGGGTGGTGTTTATTAGCTTAGTGGCATTATTGCAATCCAGGTACAATCACCATCATCCTTTTGGAGACTTCAGAGATTGCTGTTAGGAATGTTTATCAGCTGAGCAGTGGTGGTGCACACCTTTAATCCCAGCACTTGGGAGGTAGAGGCAAGTGGATCGCTGTGAGTTCGAGGCCAGCCTGGTCTACAGAGCTAGTTCCAGGACAGCCTCCAAAGCCACAGAGAAACCCTGTCTCAAGCCTCCCCCCCAAAAAAGAGAATGTTTATCATTCACTGTAAAAAATTAAACATGTTAAATGTCACATGGTGTTGATTTTAAGGAGGTTAAAGAAGCATGATTTATTAAATTTATCCAGGACATCCAGGCTTAATTCCCAAATGCCTGTTTAAACTCAACCCTGAGATCACCTATAGGAAGCTACATGAAACCTAAGGTTAGAATTAGTTAATACCTTATATTATCATAAACAGAAAGTTTAAATTTTGAGATAGTACTTATACCTCATGGATAAAGAGTCAAGAGGCTGGATAGATGGCTCAGTGGTTAAGAGCATTGGCTATTCTTCCAGAGGAGTCGGGTTCAATTTCCAGCACCCACATGGCAGCTCACACCTGTCTGTAACTAAACTACAGTTTCAGGGGATCTGGCATCCTTACACAGACATACATGCAGGCAAAACAGCAAAACACCAGGCGTTGGTGCATGCCTTTAATCCCAGTACTTGGGAGGCAGAGGCAGGTGGATCTCTGTGAGTTTGAGGCCAGCCTGATCTACAGAGCTAGCTCCAGGACAGACTCCAAAGTAATACAGAGAAACCCTGTCTCAAAAATCCAAACAAAACAAAACAAAACCAAAAACAAAAAAAGAATAAAGAGTCAAAATAGATTTGAGGGGTATGATATTTGTGACAATAATAGTCCCTAGATTTTGGTTTCCTTCTGTCCCATACCAGGTGACTCTTGTTATATGAGACAGAGACTTTGGATTTTCTTTTAACAACATGCTTGCCTTTAGAGAAGGAGAGAACCACACTCCAAGTCCAAAGCCAGCTTTAATGTTTAATTGAGTCAGGACTACATAAAAATTGCCTGTTTAAAAAAAATACTTGTTTAGTCTGATGGTGGTGGTGCACGCCTCTTATCCCAGCACTTGGGAGTCAGAGGCAGGCGGATCTCTGTGAGTTTGAGGCCAGACTAGTCTACAGAGCGAGTGCCAGGACAGGCTCCAAAGCTACACAGAGAAACCCTGTCTCAAAACAAACAAACAAACAAAAAAACAACAAACAACAACAACAACAACAAAAACCTGTTTAATATATCTGTAGAAACCAGCAAAAATGGACATTTTGAAAGGTTCATAAAATTTTACCCTGTAGAAAGTATTTAACATTAGGCCAGATTACTCCTTTTCTTGGTATCTTAGTAAATTTTTTTTGGATGGTTCTCCCTTCTTTTTTCTATGTTTCATTTGTCCAAAGGTCTTTAGATTCCTCAGTTAGATATTGTTATTTTCCTGGAAAGACAAAAAAACGAAACCCTGCCCTTACCCTTTCGTCAGTTTGAATAGCCACATTGATTGATGGATTATCACCTCTCCTAATCAATAGGTTTCTCCTGTTTAAATCGAATCTTTATCAATTTTGATGGTATCCATAGGTTTTCTTCTCCTGTGGAAACAAAAGCAAAACCTATTCCCCAGTGTAACACATGTCCTGGTTTCCATTCTGAGGTCACTAGACCTTTAAAGTATACTGGCTAATTTAGTGCAGTGGTTTTTTGTCTGTTTGTTTTGTTTTGTTTTGTTTTGTTTTGTCCAATGTCTCTCTGCAGCTACTGTTCGCTTTTCATTAGGTTTTTAAAAAATTAAAGTAAGCCAGGCGTTGGTGGCACATGCCTTTTGTCCCAGCACTCGGGAGGCAGAGGCAGGTAGATCTCTGTGAGTTTGAGACCAGCCTGGTCTACAAGAGCTAGTTCCAGGACAGCCTCCAAAGCCACAGAGAAACCCTGTCTAGAAAAATCAAACCAAAAAAAAAATTTAAAGTCAATAAAGCAATGTGAAATCTATCTCTGGGGGTCATTATTACCCCTTTCTGTTTATTAAACATATCTTTTAAAGTGCAATTAGATCTTTCCATAACAGCTTGTCCTATAGGATTGTGTGGTATACCTGTTGTAATATGAAAAAATATTTCATTACACTAGAGACATATACTGGAGCATTATCAGTCTTATTTTCTGCAGATATTCCCATGATGCCCATAACTTTTAATAGATGTGTAATTATATCAGCCTTTTAAGAACTCAAAGCAGTTGCCCATTGAAATCCCATTATGTATCTATGGTATAGTATACATATTTTAATTTTGCAAACTGTAAAATGAAACACATCCATTTGCCAAGTGTAATTTCTTTGAGTACCTTTTGGGTTAATTCCTGCAGGTAGTGGAGTTTGGTTATATGTCGAACAATTTCCTTGGCACGATGCCAACTGATGGAAAATCTTTTTCACACCCTTGTTATTAATATGCTGTTTTTTATAAAATTTTGAGGCTTTTAGCACATTTCCTACAATAGCTGAACTATTTTATCATTACCTTGTGCTAGAGGGCCTGGTAGACCCATATGGGATCTGATATCTGATAAAGGGGTGATTTCTATTTCTGATTACTTGTTATAGTTGAATAATAACAGAGTTAATTCTAAATTATCTGGAATAAGTTCAGCAGTTTCAATATGTAAAACAACTCCTTCTGCATATTGAGAGTCAGTAACTATATTAAAAGGTTCAGAAAAATCTAATAATATCATAAGAATAGCATATAATTCTGATTTTTGAATGGAGTCATAAAGGCTTTGAGGCACTTTGCTTAAATTTCTTGATTTATAACCTGCCTTTCCTGATTTATTTGCATCAGTATAGAATGTAGGGGCTCCAGATATTGGTGTTCCCCATACAAGGACCCAAATGATTTTTTTAAAGATTTTATTTATTTATTATGTATATATAACATTCTGCTTCTGTGTATATCTGCACACCAGAAGAGGGCACCAGATCTTACAACCGATGGTTGTGAGCCACCATTTGGTTGCTGGGAATTGAACTCAGGACCTTTGGAAGAACAGTCGGTGCTCTTAACCTCTGAGCCATCTCTCCAGCTCCCAAATGATTTTTATAAATTGGAGTCTCTTGCTTTTGGGATATTTGTTGTTAATCTCTCTCCAAAAACTGACTGCAATATCTTTGCCAATGTTCATTTTCTGCCCATAAGGAAGTAATTTCAGCATTAGTAAAAGTTACTAAAATTTCAGTTGGGTCCATTGCTTTTAATTGAAGAAGTACCAATTTTTCTTTTAGAATCAATTCAGAAAACTTTTCTACATAGGTCTTTAAAATTCTGTTCTGTTTGGCAAAAATATCCATTTCAGAGTATTGTCTTCTCTCTGCAGAAGAATTCCAGTAGGAGCCTCCAAAGCCACAGAGAAACCCTGTCTAGAAAAAAGGAAAAGAAAGAAAGAAAAAGAAAAAGGAAAGAAAGAAAGAAAAGAAAATCAAGAAGCTGTGCTGCTGTGGTCTGTTAGTGGGAGAAGAGAGTGAGAATCAACCATGCTGAAGAAACACAGAAGGAAAAAAAGACAGGAAACACAATCCCCTATTTCAGTGATAGAATCAAACTTTTTAATTTTCTTTCTAGAAACTCATAAATTCCATCTGATAGATATTTTTATAGTAAAAATTTATTTTTAAAAAGAAAACACAATTTTCTGTCAAAAATCAAAGGAACCCTTCAGACACCATAAGCAAACATCAGGCTAGGCTCATGACCTAGTCCTACCCCCCTGAGATGTGGGCTTTGGAGACACAGAGCATGGAAACAGCTTGGTCCCCAGAGGAAGGGCTAGATGGCTAGGATTTCCAAACGCACATTCAATATTTCTGTGAGGCAGGGGGCATTTCCCAGGAAGAATACTGCCTCCTGGATACATTTTTTAATACAATGTTTGTTTGTCAAAAGATGTATCCTCCGCAGAGGATGTAGTTCAGTTGATACTGTGCGTGATGCCTTGGGTGTGATCTTCAGCACTGCAAAAAAGTGGGCATGGTGGCCCTCTTATAATTCCAACACTTGGGGGTAGAGACGGGATAATCAGAAGTTCAAAGTCATCTTCAGCTATGCGGCGATTTGAAGATAGCCTGAGGCACATACAATCTATCTCAAAAAGAAAGAAAAGTTTGTATCCCATTATGCACTCCTATAATGTAAGCACTCCCGGAGACTAAGGCAGGAAGATTGTAAATTCAAGGCTGTAACCCTCCAATAGGGAAGAGATTCCTGGGAAAAAACCTAGTGCCAGGAGCCCACTTCCTTCACAGCCTTGGAGACCGTGTCTGCAACAGGGGCAGGAATGGTCCTATGAAAAGCTAACCCATAGTTCATAGCTGCACTTGGCACAGTAAAAGATGGTGGCATCCAAGGACATATGGACCCCAAGAAGTGGAAACAGCTGGTTACCTAGAGCTTAGCAGAGGTGGATCCAAACTCTGCCAGTTGCTTGAGGTCATTTGGGAATGTCATCCAGCTGCCACCATCAACTATCAGCACAATCCCTGAGACATAGGAAGCCAGTGGGCTGGCCAGGTAGAGCACACTGTGGGCAATCTCCGTCTTGTTTCCAAGTCTTTGCACAGGGCTTGAAAAACTCTTTAATTGCAAAGTGTCCTGGGGTCCCCCTGGAAGGTAAAGGAAGTCAGGACCGAGTAAGTCCCTAGAACACAGTGTTTGCTGCTCCCTCTCCCAGCACTCTCCCCAGCCCACATCTGGAAACTGTAGCTGCTCTACCAGGGCCTAGCAGATCAGCAATAGAGGATGTGCAGAGTGACACAGAATCCACAGGAGGGAAAGTGACACCCTCTGGGCAATGAGGGTATGGAGACCCTGAGAGTAGGCCAAGTTAGACAGGGTAGAAGGTCAAACATTTGGATAACTTCTTGACTGGAATAAAACAAAACGTTTCTTGTTTTTTGTTTATGTTTTTGTTTCCCAAGACAGGGTTTCTCTGTGTAACTCTGGCTGTCCTGGAACTCATGCTGTAGACCAGGCTGGCCTCTTCGAACTCATAGATCTGCCAGCCTCTGCCCCCTGCGTGATGGGATTAAAGGCATGCACCACCACTACCTAGCTGAAGACAGACTTTTTAAAGCCCTGCTACAATTTGAGAAGCTTTGATGGATGTCCCAAACTCCCGAAGAGACTGACCCAATCGCCGCATCCCCTCTGTACCACTGATGGGACCAGGAGCCAGGCTGTTGACACGGATATTATGGGGACCCCACTCCACAGCCAAGTGTCGTGTCATAGCATCTGCATGGAAGAAATGCACACAGGAGGGCAAATCGTGAGGTGGCGCTGACTCTGGGGTAGCCTAAACGCCAGTGGGAGCCCAGGGTCAAGTATCGGCCTCTACAGTATCCACGGTTAGGATCAAGTTCGTGTGCAGATTATCAGCCTCCAGGGATAGTCAAGGGGATAATCCACAGGGAGCACTCATACCCACGGCTGCCTTAGCAGCGCCTGCATGGAGCTGCAGCACCTGCCCCCGCATACTGAGAGTGGCAGTAATGTTCACAATCACTCCTCCATGGTCCTGAAACATACAAGGGATGACAATGAGAGGGTAGCCACAGGAAGAAAGGCCCCTGCCAGGAGGGTACCCACCCGGAAGAACTTCTCATAAAGCACACGAGACACATTGAAGGTGCCGATGGTGTCAATGTCAACCACAGTCTTAAAGGCGTTGAAAGACAAAGCGCTGGCAGGGCATAGGAAGTTTCCAGCTGCACCTGGAGAACAGAAGGGGAAAGCTGGTGGGCTGAGGCTCTGAGAAGACAGGGCGCTAAAGGGCTAAGCTCTGTCAAGAGTACAAAAAAAGATGTCTGTAGGCAGTCAGAGTGTGGAGACCCTCAAAGCGGCCTCAGCCAGACAAGTCAGGACTCAACAGGCAGAGGATAGAAGACTAGATGCCAAGAAGTTAAGCTCTAAAACCAAGTATGGAGGCAGCACTTGGGGCAGAGGCAAAGGATCTGAAATTCAAGGTCATCTTCAAGCAAGCTTAACTCTAGCCCAGGTTATAGGAGATTTTCTCTCACAAAAATAGATAGATAGATAGATAGATAGATAGATAGATAGATAGATAATTTTTTGGTGTTTGTGAATGTGACCTTATCTGAAAATAGAGTCTTTAATTGCCATGATGGCCCAGCTTTTAGTCCCAGCACTCAGGAGGCAGAGACAGGGGGATCTCTGAGTTCAAGGCTAGCCTGGTCTACAGAGCAAGTTCCAGGACAGGCAGGGCTACACAGAGAAACCCTGTCTCAGAAAAAAAAAACAAAAAAACAAAAAAACAAAAAAACATGGTGCCTTAATATGATAATAATATCAATTATTCAACAAATATAACACTTGAGTAATAACAGATATTGTGAAGTGATTACACAGAATTCTGTTCTATCTACTTAATTATTCTTTAAGGCTATGAAATCAACTTTTTTTCTGGGACAATAATAGTAACCAGGGCTTTCTGCATGATGAACTCCACTCCCAAATCTATTACTTTGATTTATTTGTTTATTTATTTAGAGATAGTGTCTCTCTATGTAACTCAGGCTGTCCTTGAACTTAACATGTAGACCAAGCTGGTCTCAAATTCTCTATGTAGATAGACCAGGCTGGCCTCAAACTAAGAGATCTGCTTGCCTCTGCCTCCTGAGTGCTCAGATTAAAGGCCTGTGACACCATACATAGGGAGGCACCCCCATACTTTCAACACTTATTTAGTATATGTATATGTGTGATGTGTGTAGTTGTACATATGCTATGGCATGTGGAGGTCAGAGGACAACCTGTGGTAGTGGATCCATTCTTTCCAACATGTGGCCCCTAGGGATATGACTCAGGCCTAAGCTACTGAGCCACCTCACCAGCACACTTTTTTTTTGGGGGGGGTGTTTTGAGACAGGGTTTCTCTGTGTAGCTTTGGAGCCTATCCTGGCACTCGCTCTGGAGACCAGGCTGCCCTCGAACTCACAGTGATCTGCCTGCCTCTGCCTCCCGAGTGCTGGGATTAAAGGCATGCGCCACCAACGCCCGACACCAGCACACTTTTTAAAGTGGAAATCTCAGTACACAAGAACACCTCTGAATTGTGACTTAGTCATGTTCACAGGGCACCCAGCATAGCTCAGGCTTTGCTGACCCACCACTCAGAAAGAACAAAGATTGTCCAGGACAGAACCTATAGCCTAGATTGTGCCTTTGGCAAATGCAAAGGTCATGGCTGTGCCAGTACAGAACCTGTAGCCTGAGTCTTGTGTCTCACAACTGTGAGGCCATAGTTGGGCCTGGACAAGCACCTAGGCTCTCTGGCACAATTCTACCCCTGGCAGCAGAGTTCTGGAGCTTCCACACAGCCCTATCGACCTAAGAGAAGACTCTGGCCTCACTTAGTGCTGACTCACAGTTAATAAGGATGTCAACTTTGCCAAACTCTTTCAGTGCCTGGTCCACAGCAGCCATGACAGCTGGGGGAGCTCGGACATCCATAGACAGAGGGAGGCACCGCTTCCCAGTGGCAGCAACCAACTTCTCAGCGGCCTAGGCAGGAGAAAGAAAGGGGGTTGGCTAGCAGCTTCAGCCTGGAGAAGCAGCCTTTAGACCTCGATGGAAATGATACACTACATTAGCACCCCAAGTTTGCTGTGGTACCCTGCCAAGGGAGACTTGGCTTGAAAGTAGCCACCTCCTGGGGCCATGACCCCTGGTGGATGTTGGTAAGAGATTCTGCATTCTCTATAACCTGTCACCTGTCTCAAATCCTACCTTCTGCCTACCTTGTAGGCATTTCCCCTGGACCTAGATGGGTAAGATGATGACCTTCATAATGCTGGTAATCCTACTGAATAATTCTGGAACCATTATTACTTTCAAAACCACAGTCCAATAACCACATTTCTAAAAAGTCAAGGATACCTATAAGGGTCCATTTTAATGAGTTCCTCTACACAAGAAGAAACAGACTTTGGTGTTTTTATACCCTTGTCCTCAGGACTCTTCCCTACCCAAGTTCAGAACCCCACAGCCTTCCTCTCACCGTGGACACTCTTGGTAGACTCCTGCTGGCGATGACAGTGTGGCAGCCATGCCTGCAAAACCAGATGGCAGGCTTGAGAAGACAAGAATGAGGAACACTCCCTGGGGTAGCCTCTACCAGGTACTATGCTACAAGAACTCCCCAAAGAGCTTCTTAGGCTGAGATATCAATCAAAGCCAGCAGTAGGTACAGGGACTCAAGCAGCGCTGAGTAACTCTAGGGCTGCTGGGTACCATGGTTGCCCACTCCCATGTCTCTGGTTTGGGATATTCTGACCCAGATACCATGTACATGGCAGAGAGAGTGTGGTGGGCCACTGGTGCCAATCCCAGATCTGTACAGAGCCTGCTGGGGCATTGGGGTGGAGGATAGAGAGCCCATTTTGAGAGAGGAAGCATCATGGTGATAACAATGGGTACGATCTGCTACACAGGTTCCACAACTGCACTGATTAATCTAATCTTCATGGTTAGATAACACACAGAACTTTGTTCTACTGAGAAGAAATTGCATAAAGCCACCAGCTTCAAATAATAGTCTATTATCTAGAATCAAAGTCAATTCTCATGGGCTTCACTTGGGGTTGTGAAAAGTAGACTACTGGGGAGAACTGGAGAAGGGCTCTTCTACCTCTGCCTCAGCCTAACTATGAGCCTCCACCAGCTTCAGTAGCAAGTTGCTAACCCTCTCTTGATGCCACAAGACCTGTGTCCCAAGAGACACTCTTCCCCACCATAGCAGTCCACTTACAACCTATGAGGCTTGTCACACAGTCTTGCCCACATCGAGGAGACCCCAAAGGTCCTGTCTTCCTCCCAGGGCAGCATACAACCACTCCCCAAAATCCATTAGGGTTCAGCTAAAGGGAAGTAAGGTGCTAAAGAGGGTCCCAGAGTAGTGTGTACCTCATGAAAATCTCAGCAATCCGGAAGCCAATCCCAGAACCACCACCTGTGATAAAGGCCACCTTGTCCCTTCAAAAAAGGAAAATGTAGTCATTTAAAAAAATATTTATTTATTTATTTCTCTGAATGTTTTGCCCGTGTGCCTACAGATGGTTGAATCCTCCTGTGGATGCTGGGAACCAAAGATGAGTCCTTTGAAAGAACAGTAAGTGCTCTGAAACACTGAGCCATCTTTCTAGTCCCTAGAATCTACTTTAAAATCAATGTTTTAGCCTGATTGGTGATGCATGCCATTAATTCCAGCACTTGACAGGTGTGTGGGGGGGGACAGAAATTAAAGACCAGCATGAGCTACATAGTGAGTTTCAGGGCAGCCTGCGCTATATGAAATTCTGTCTCAATAAACAAATCACTGTCTGGGCAGTGGTGGCACTTGCCTTTAATCCCAGCCCTTGGGAGGCAGAGGCAGGCAGATCTCTATGAGTTCGAGACCATCGCAGTCTACAGAGAGTTCCAAGACAACTGAATCTATACAGAGAAACCCTGTCTCAAAAAACCAAAACCAAACAAATAAGCAAATAAATAAATCACTGTTAACAGAGAGTAAATAGGTGGCCAAAGGAGGATTTTGACCCCATGAACTTTCACCCAGTGTGGCTGTGAAAGAAAACATGCTCCTGCAGATGATGGAACCCAAGGGTTTGCTACACAAATCCCCAGTCATAAAACTGCTATCTTTAAAGTATGTTATTCTTGGGCTTCCTAGAAGTTCAGGGGTGAAGGGGAATATTTAACCAAAAACGTTCTGTGTCCTAAGGTGTCAAGTGAGACGTTTTCAAAACGAACAAGGTTCCTCCTCCCTCGTCCTTCATACCATCCTTCCAGAACCCCCAGATCAGGTCTGTGATCGCCCAGGAGGAGGGTTGTGATCACCCAGTCCTCTGTGCTGTCACATTCAGTGGCAGATCCGTTCTGACCTCTGTGCCCCAACCCCGGATCACTCCCTAGTTCCCTGCTTTAGCTCACTGGAGAAGGTCCGGACAGAAGAGGTGGTGGTATTCAGAAAGACAATCGTCCTCCTCAACGTCGGGCGGTTGCTGGGCCATGACGCTGTGTGCGGGCCGGAGTGGCGAGGACAGTAAAACTGGGAAACAGACCAACCCTACCTTTCCAACGCTGAGCACAGCGTTGTTCAAGGGGCTCGCTCCGCCCAGAAACATCCAGGACCAGAGTCCCACTCCCACCGCACCCCGCCCACCAGACGCTCCCTGCAAGGAGGCCCCGCCCACAACGAGGTGCCCCGTCCCTCTACGCCTTCCTATCATACGCCCTCCCGCGATTCCCCGCCCTCCTGGTCTTCCCATTCCACCCCGCGGGCACCCCACCCATAGTGGCGCGCGGCCTGCTGGGACCGCGAGTAGGAGGAGGTGCTGACGCAGACGCAGTGGGATGCTCCCGCCTGTTAAACCCCGGAGTCCTTCCAGTTGAATGCAGCCATTTGGTCCAAGCATCCAGACTCGCCAGACGGTGTAATATCAGCTGTGGAAGTCGGAACTCCTGACAAGCACTGCTCTGCCTCTTGGACTCTCCCTCCTAATTCAAGAGGATCGGGAGTCTGCAAAGCCAATAGCTCCCTCACGTGGCCAGGCCGAGGGAAACAAAATCCCAGAGTGACCTCTTGATGGCTGACAAGGATCACAGCACTTGATCCAGATTTTCCTGAAACTGCACAGGCAGACCGGTGTTGAGAACCCAGGACTGAGTTCCATCAAGATGTCAAAGAGCGAATGACTAGTCAATTAGCGGTCATGTGTATCAGCTACTTGTGTCAGCCACTTCAAAATCCGGGGTGAGATGTGACTTGTATGTATCAACGTGAAAATAAAAGGATGTCAGGCAGTGGTCACTGTCACAGATCACATCAGGTCAGGAGTGGAGAATGCACTCTGGTGCCTGGGTTGCTTTGAGGGAAAGATGAGAGTAGCTCCTGAAGTTTAAATCTTCCACTGTTCCAACCTCAAGCACTAGCACCTCTACCCACAGGCTCTGCCTTGAAGAGGCCTTAGGCCCCACCTATCCCTTGTCACCACCCTCTCTCAGAATTATCATACAGGCAGGAGCAGAAATAGCACCTGCCAAAGAACTTTGTATGGATTCTCTATTTCATGACTCTTGAACTCTTGCCTGGTTCATATTATTTACCGAAGTCAAAGAATCCTCTTCCTTTAGCTGTAAGCCTCAAGCCTACTGTTTACACCATGCATAAAAAACACTCATTAGAGTGCTGGAATAAAGCAATTTTCTCCAGATATTACTACTGGATACAATGGAGCAGGCGTTGCTATGGTGACCTCTAAAATGCTTGGCCCTGCAGCCATGCCAATGAAATAAGTGGAATACAGTGGTAGCTGGAACTAGGGTAGTGGTAATCCAGAGCATCACAGAACCTTTGCCTTAGATTTCCCACCTGGTACTCCTTCCAGCTCTTAAGGGTCTTAGGGTAGGGATCCTAGGGTGTATAAGTCGTAGGTTAACTAAAAATAGGGTTCCATTGTGCAGTTAGTTACCTTGATTTCATTACCCATGCTGGCTGGGACTTGACAGTGATTCAGCGTTCTGAAGTCACCCATGTCTCTGTCATTCCAGTGAAATCATGGGTTCACCAGGTTGGGAAGGGACGGACTTGTTACTGTGGTATATTGTTGGTGCCTTGTGTGGGGTGAACAGGCATTTGTTCACATCTCCCCAGGAAAGGTCACACAATGCTGAGATAAGAAATAAGTATACCATTCCCATTTTAAGCAGAAGATTTTAATGTCTCTTCTCTGGGGCAAGCAAAATCACCTCTGACAATGTATAGGATATGGGCCAATATTGTGCTGGCTTAGGATACAAAAAGGCACATAAAATTGAGGCTTAGGCTCCCCTGGGCTGACGTTAGACAAGAGGAGAACAGGGAGCGGTTTGGGAGATAGGAAGGGTATGCTTGAGTTCTTGTTGGCAGAGGTAGTTGGTCATGGATGAACCCTGAAGTGCAGAGAGCAGTTCAAACCTTCAGGCCGGGCAGCAGCTACTGGGGTGACCATCATCTGCCCAGTTCAACAGTTCACTGCTCTTAAACCACAGCTGGATCTCCCTCTGGGCTCCTTCCACAGAATCACTAGCATGGATGATATTCCTGGGAGAGGTGGAAAAGGTGGTGACAGAGAAACAAGGTGATGGTACAGAAGAGAAAGGA